GGATGGATTATCTCGGCAAAGGAGAAGTGCTCACTAACACAGATTTAGACAGATTTGTGAACAATATTTGAGAGAAACAGGCCTTTTGTGTACATAGAAAAAGTCTTAGATCTTTGAGTTCAGCTCATGACAAATGGGGGCAAAAACAAAAGTGTTGCGTTTATAATTTTGTTCAGTGTATTAACGTATGAAAGTATTTATAAGTATTATGTTTATATATGGAAGTGTTTTTAAATATTAAACACATTCCATCAACCACAAAAGTGCACATGCATCTTTTTTAGCGTTATGAGTGTTGTCATAGAAACAAATATTTTTGTGAGTCCAAGGATGTCAACAGCTCAGAGTCATCTTGTAATTATGGTAATTCCAACATGACATGGACGAAACATAATTTAGTTTCTCTCATCACTTCCTCCTCATCTCCTTTTCCTGTCACTGCCTCCTGTTGTTGTTTCATCCCACTTGTGTTTCATTAATCAGTTAGACTATTTTTTTCTTTCATGTTCTAAATACAAAACAAAATCCAACTTTCCAGTCCACTCATCTCATTTTTATCCATTTTTTTGTCTCTCTCTCCACCCTCACCTCCATTATAGTGGGCCCATCTCGTAAGTACCATTCCATTTCATTTCTCTGCATGCGTGTGGTTGTGCGTCACATGTTTTGGAGGCTGTGATTGCTTGTGACAGGGTTAAGACCCTGCGCTGGCCATTCATTTGTGCCTAAGTATTCTACTTAAAGGGACGGTTCACAAATATGAAAATTGTTATTTATTCACCCTCATTTCATGTCGTGTCCTTCTTCTGCAAAACACAAAAGAAGGCATTTTGAAGAAACTGTTTTTGTCCATTCAGTGAAAATCAATGTGGTCCAAAACAACACTGAACCCTATTGGGAACCCTATTGAACTATCCCTCTACATACAGAAGTAATGAGTGTCTATTCTAGTGCAGCTCATTAACTCAGATACGTTGAGCAGTAATACTGGTTTTCAGATGACATAGAAAATGCAGATATTTGAAACTTCAGAGGCTTTTTGAAGTGTGACTGTCTTTTGACTGCTCTTGATGTTCTTTACTGAGGAGAGTTACAAATTTATTATCTAGCGCAGTGCAGGAGTGACCTCTGTCCTTTCACTCCAGACTATGAGAAAAGCGTGATCAAATTACAGAGACACTGAATAAGAGGTCCTCTGCTCCAAAGCTTGAACATTACCGCTGTAATGCCCATAATGCATCAGTGGATGTGAGGTCTAGAAGATCTGAGGGATCTGGAACTGATTTTTTTCCACAATGGTTTTGTGCTGTGTGGGCCAGTCAGTTAGCTAGAACAGCTCCATATTGTCAGCAGAAACCTCTTGGGTTTGGCTTTGAAGCCCTGCGGAGTCACCAAGCCTACAATCGTTTTACCCTTAAAAGTGTTCATAAATAGCATAAAATAAACACTCTCACTTTTGGCTTTTTTAGAAATCGAATTTTATACCACTTACTTTGTTTTTCTTGCGAGAGCTGTATTTAACTTAAGGCACAATGAGGAGTACATGTGACCGAGAAGTAATTACCAGATATGTTATTTCTTTCAAGGAAAAACACTGCTTTTTCACAAGTGGGAACAACTATATCTGATGCTGACGGAGCACTTCAGTGTTAGCCAGACAGACCGACAGACAGACAGACAGAATGAAAGAAAGAACATGTTTTCAGAGGCAACCATGGGCGTACTACTCCTTTTTAAAGGGGGTAAAAGGAAACCGTTCCCTGCAGGGTGGTAGTTTTCATACAACCCGACTTGGGTCTTTGGTGCTTTTATTTTCTCTTTTGTTAGTTGTGTCTTGGATGAGTTACATTTAAATGGAAGTTTGGGAAATGTACTTTTAGAGCTACTCAAACTGTTTTTGTGGTATTTTTTTGTTTAGCCTGACAAAGAATATCATCCAAAACCTAGTGAGCTGCCCACCTAGGCAACATTTTTAGGCAAAGAAGTCAATGTCAAAGCTGTTGCAAACAGTACCTAAAGGAAAATTGTATTGCTCAGAGGTTTGTTATAAATAGCTCAAGGCAAGTCTTTAAAAAATAAAAAAATATTTCCAGTTTTAGGAAGATTCTGTGTAGAATTTGATGATTTGGTAACACTTTAGTATAGGGACCAATTCTCACTATTAACTAGTTGCTTATTAGCATGCATATTACTAGCATATTGGCCATTTATTAGTACTTATAAAGCACATATTCCGCATGACCATATTCTACATCCCTAATCCTACCCAATACCTAAACTTAACAACTACCTTACTAACTATTAATAAGCAGTAATTAGGATATTATTGAGACAAAAGTCATAGTTAATAGTTAGTTAATAGTGAGAACTGGACATTAAAATAAAGTGTGACTGATGAATTGAAATGTTCTAATCTTTTAAAAATCCGAAGTACTGGAGATTTATGCAAACATCTCAATTTGATCTACGTTTAATTTCATTGATCTCTAGGAAAAACAATGGAGATATTAAAGTGATCTAAATTGTGGACCCCCCCGTTATTTTGTACAAGTAAGAAGCAGCTTTTTAAGAAATCTTGTTTTGTTCATCCTTCATGTCTTTTATGCTTACTAAGGCTGTATTTATTTGAGCAAAAATACAGTAAAAATAGTCGTTTAGAATTTAATGCTATTATTATAATTATAATATTATAATTATTATAATTTGAGTTGACGTTTCTGTTTCCGATTTTAATATATATTAAAATGTAATTTATTAATTTGTTAGGAAATGCTGAATTTTCAGCAGCTGTTACTCCATACTTCAGTGTTACATGATCCTTCAGAAATCATTTTAATATGCTGATTTGGTGCTCAAATAACAATTCTTGTTATTATCAATGTTGAAAATATTGAAAAATGCTGTTTAATAGTTTTGTGGAAACTGTGATAAATTTATTCATTAATAAATATAATAGAAAGAACAGCATTTATATGAAATATATATTTTTTGCATCAATGTAAAAGTCTTTCACTTTTGATCAATTTAACATGTCCTTGCTTTAAAAAAAAGTATTAATTTCTTAAAAAAAGTATTATTTCCTTCTGAACAGTAGTGTACAAGGCAATCCCAGAAAGCATTGCAATTAGCCTTTTCAAGTGTATTTTATTCAGTACTGGAAAATATCAATACAAAAGAGGTTATCTAATTGAAAATAAAATACTTCATATCTGTGTCTATGTAATTTCTTTGTGCCTATCAGAGCATCAAGTTGTTAGCAACATGCTAGACTATTGAAATCAACTTGCGTTTTTCACACATTCTTAAAAGTAGATGCCTATGTAGACAGTGAAAAGCTAGATTTTGGGTTTTGCAACAGTTATAAAATTAACTTAGTTTTAGGCTTCTAAGCCAGATAAGTATGTCAGAACATTCTGTATTCAGTGGAAAAGCCAGACGTTTAATACACACTGGGTTAGATTAGTTAGACTCTGTGCGAGGGAGAAACAGGAAGAGATTCTGTCTTCTTTCCACTAAAGATGATGGATTCGTTTCATCATTTGCACAGCGTCATGAAACGGCATGTTTCCTCAACTGCCCTCTTCATTTGCATGTCTAAGAGCTGAGACAATAAATATGAAATAAACCCATGTAGCAGCGATTTACACCAGATTAATTCCAATGCACTGAGGCGCTTCTCCAACTGTGCTCATTTTAAGCTGTCCTAAAAAAAAGTGGGTCCTATTCCAAACTCTGACAGGACTGATCTTAGCCCATGCATATTACTGTATCCTCAAGGGGGAGTATTTAAAACAGCACAAGCTCTCTGAGAAGCTGCATTTATGCAGATGACGCTCTCGTTTTGATTATGCAGTAAATATTACAGTGTATGAATTTGGCAGGTATTGCCGGACAGAAACGGCTGCTCAGCTAGGCATTGAGAACATATGCCCTGTATTGGTGTAGATAACCTGCAATGCTGTAAAGCGTTTAATCGGTTACACTCTAAAGACTGTATTAATTGCATGTAGGGGGTTTTAATTGCAGCGCTGAGCACTGAAGCATGGCCCTTCCACACTTTCTGTCTGCTTCACTGTTCGACACTGACAACTGCCTGTCATGGCAAGTCCCTCTGGGGATAGATGCAATGTTTGAAGACACGTTTTGTTGGCGATGAATCTGCTTACGAGTTTGTGGCTGTGTATTCACTAACCACCTACTCTCCCAGAGGGAGCGTGAAGGTGTCGGATCCTTGCACGTGTTGTGGTCCGTCTTGGGAGGAAATGAAGTTCCATGAATAATTTTTAGCTTCAGCACTTTTGTTTAGCCTATGTGAGTGGCTGACACTTTTGACCTGTCACTAGCCAGCCAGCCAGTGTGGCACCTTCACAGCTCTGTCTACTGCTATTCTGTTAAATACACCATCTGTGATACTTTGAGGAAGAGATGTCCAGAAAGACTTATAGATATCTTAACAGATGGCATTCTATCTATAATTTGGAATAGTTGTAGTTGATTTTATGGCTGAGCAGTTTTCCCTCCCTATCTAACTTTAGAAGATAAATGAATGTTTATCCCAGATAATAATTTAATAATAAAATAAAGTGGAAAATATAAAAGTATTATTATTACTAGTATTATTATTATTGTTATTATAGTAACAGTAGTAAAGATTTTTTTATGTTATTGTTTCTATCATCTGTGACATTTTGAGGAAGAGACTTAAACTAGGAAGTTACAGTTGACTTTATGAATTTTTATCCCTGGCAATAATATTAATAACAACCAATTTTATTAATATTATTTTGTTAACATTTTGTTAACATTATTATTTTTTTAACATTATTTTGTTAATATTATTATTATTATTATCATTACACTTTTGATCAATTTATTGTGCCTTTACTTAAAGTATTCATTTCTGTGTATTTTATTCAGTACTTGAAAGTATCAGTCATTTTTTTTATTTAACTGAAAATAAGGTACTTCTATTATTATTATTAGTAGTAATAGTTGTAGCATTATTATATATATATATATATATATATATA